TGATGATTGAACAAGAATTATTTTCAGATCTGTATTTAACAAAATTTTTAGACCTTTCAACAAAATCATTCTTTCCGTGTACTAAATCTCTATTGTGCATAAGTTCATAATGTGCATACTTTGTGTAGAATGCGCGAGGTCGGAGCTGCGATGCAGAAACGGCGAGTGTGTCACCAAGAGTGCATTTTGCGACGGCAAAGTGGATTGCTCGGACGGAACGGATGAACCTACAGTATGCAGCTGCGCGGAATATTTAAGACTTACTGCGCCTGAACGCTTATGCGACGGGGTGCGACATTGTCTCGACAAGACCGACGAGTCGCTAAAAGCGTGTCAATGCACCGAAACCAGCTTTAAATGCAACACGTAAGACTGACAGTCTCAATATATCGCAACATTAAGAGTGTGTTCCGTTTTATGATGTATCATTTTATTCTTGTTGATCATTGAATGTTTGACAAGGATAAACACATCACGTGCGCATCATGTATAAAACAGAACATATTCTGAAGCTTCTGTACATCCACCGCTCTCTCAGTTTATGACGTCGGAAGCAACAAGATGCGCAATAAAAATTAATTCTTATAAAATGTGTTAGAATGGAAATAAATATTCAGTATTGCGGTAATAAAACAACACAATCAATATAACTGACTTGTAAAATATATCAAAAATATATTCTCCTTTTATTTCATTAATTGATAAATAATCAAATATCTAAATAAATTATGCATAATTGAAGAAGCGAAATAAACTATGTTCGCAGATATGACGACCGTTAATTTAATAATAAATGGAAATAAATATGATTTAATTCCGTCTTAAAATGAAAAGATAATTTTTAATATTTTATAAGTCTTCATTTATTCTATTAATTGCAAATGTTATTTTATTGAAAAAATATATTATTATTTGAATATATTTTGCAAGTTTTTTATTGTATATTTTTTCGCTTCTGACGTCATAATCAGAGATAGTAGTGGCCAAAAGCCTTAAACGTCTCTCATGACTTGAAAATTAGCTAACACTAAAAATAGTGCTGTAAAAATTGCTGTATAAATCTTGCAAAAATTATTTGCAATTATTACTTAGGGTAACTCCGATATATACGCCGCGC